CTGCAGGTTTCTTACAAGCAACCTAAAGAGATCTCTTACAATACCTATACATTGTATAGCCCCATAGGTTGTGTATTTACAACAGAGAGCTTCAGGTGTTGGGCAGTCTAGAAATGAAAGGCATAAATAAATATTTAGCAAGACATGTGAATATTATTAGAGACAATCGTGCATCAACTTCAGTAATGGCAGCCCAACTATCCATACATTCCTCCATCCATAAATTGTGTTTAAAAACTGCCTGTTCCAAAGTATTATCTTGCAGCAGTCAGTTTATCCTTGAACTACTGTAATATTAGTCTTTTGGCTGTCAAAAGGGTGCGAAAAATCCATTTATGTCTTGTATACACGTCCAGGAGACACAGAGATATTTAAAAAGGACACGTCTAGCACTGAATATTAAGAACTTTCCATCCCAAATTTTATCCAAAGATTACAGACTCTTGAAGACCAACCAAACTAGTTCTGCATTTTGCGGGGCTTCCCTGTTTCACTGGGATCAGATTACGTCATCTTTTCCTGGCTACCCTCCCACCTTTATCTGCCTTTGCAGCAATATTTACTACAAGTGAGCACACAAAAGCGAGCTCAGTCTTGACAGAAACTTTGAGTCCAAGCCACCCAACCCTGCCCTGAGTTGCCATGGCATTTTCTTTTTCTCTTTCTTTTTCGCCCCCCCCTTTTTTTTTGCTGAGCAGCTTCATTTCAAGCCCCCATCCTGAGACATTGACTTGCATTTAGACCTCGCCAGTGGCAAAGTCAGAATAAACAGCAGGCGAGCCAATTCAACAATGCAGTCGACTCTTTCATTGGTTACTGTACCCAGAGGGGAGCTTTAGCTAATAAAACCTTCACAGTTTGAAAAACAGATTAAAGGAGGTGCTTCCCATTTTCTCAGTCTGCAGCAGATGCTTATTTGGGTGTCTCGTATGCATGGCTGGGGTGCATATGGGGCCATCTGGGTGGGATATGTCACCAAGAGCTTGGCCCCCTCAGAGTTATTTCTCATATTTGTATTCATTGGCTGCTTTCACAAAAAAGAACAAATGGAAGTGAGCCTGCAGCTCTGTTTTTAACAGCAGCTTTCTGTTAGGCTAAGCATGATGGGCACGGTGGTTCATCACATCCAAAGGGCAGCAAGCTGGGGAAGGCTGTTTTGCCAAGACATAAAGCCAAGCAACCCATAGACAAGGGCTTCCCCCATCGCTCACCTGCCTTCACACAGTTCAGGCTCAAGGATCCACTCCTAACAATTGGGTCAACACATTCTAGGTTGGGAAACATACACTCCAGATCTAATGTTGGAAACAAGGCAGTCCCTGCCACTGTAACCCAGAGTTCCGCAAACAGAGCTTGCCTCTGCCCAGCAGTTGACTGAGCTACCACAACTGCAGATCAGAGCATCTTCTGAGTGGTGGAATATTCTCAAGCTCTGGGTTGGTCCTGCCCGGCCAGGCTGGTGGTGGGGCCTTCATGACTGCAAGCACTTCCTGTTCGGTCTTTCTAGCTGTGCTGTGGCTTGGTGTATCCTCTGGTTCCCATCCCTCATTTGGACTCTCATCTCTGAATCCCCGATATTTCTTCTGTTTCCTGCTGAAAGCAGGTTGTGCCTTAGCCCTGGTCTTGGAGCCACCATGACTGTGGAATCATTCTAGGCTACTGAATCCAGGATGCAGAACGTAGATCTCCAGAAATTTTCCTTCAGCTCCTAAGATTCCAGCCCACCGGTCACATTGGTAGGGGGATATAGGGGCTGAGGTCCAAAATATCAGATCTACCTTCTGTCCATTACTGGTCTAGCTCAACCCACTACTTGACACAGGAAGTCGAGAGCTACAGTAGTCCTGAGAAATAGCTTGCCCGATGTTGCTCGAACATCTTTCACCAAAAGCCTTCCTTGGTTATATCATCACCAGCAGAAATTTACCCTCCATTAACTTCAGAGCATCAGATCAAGTCTTCATATGTTCCCTTTTCTCTTGGCAAAACATACCCTCTTCCTCAACTCTTTACCAAATATTTTAATTGTTAAGGTAACTGTAAAGGTTTTTATGGTATTTATTATATGTTGTGCTATGTGACTTTTTATTAGCTTAAGAACTGAAATTACTGCGTGGTTTTATTGTGGGATTTTTTTTCTGTGTTGTGATTTTACTGTTGTAATATATTTGCTATTTATATCATGTTCTATTATGTATATTGTTATTATATATTAAATGTTGCAACACACCCAGGGAGGTGTTTTGGCTAATGGGGAGGACAGAAAACTATAATCAATCAATCTTTCTTCATAGGACTTTCTTCCAAGCCATTGACAATCTTCTGAAAAGCTATTAGGTTTTTAGTGTAGATATGTCCTGTATTTGGCTTTAAGTTGCTTTTAAGAGGGTCCTGATAGTGGGAAGCATTCTGAGCTCACTAAATCAGCTCTAATGTGCCACTTCTTCAGTTAGTATTGCATTTACCACACTCACACCCTCACTTTTTGGGAGCTGCTACCAGGGCATGCCCAAATTTGCCCGATACTGAAAGCTGTTTGAAAGTCATGAAGACTTCCATATGAACCAGCAATGCAAGCCAAACGAGACTTCCACAGTTGCTCCGCAAGCTATAATTTTGTATTCAAAAATGCTGGGCAACTCTGGCGAGAGGGTGTGGGCCTTGTGTGTATATGGAGTATCTCAAAGCAGAATGAAGCCCCTTAGGAAACACCTACCATGCTTTGCTGGCAAAGCAACAACTGTCTTCTAATAGCCCAACTACATTAACAGGCATTACTGCTGCATATTATATATGTTTGCATGTATGAATGAGATCCCATTCTGAAATGAATGGCTCTGGCGGTAATGCTCTTGCAAAATGCCCTTCCAAGGTTCCAGTCCAGGTCTTTTTCCCTAGCCATGCATGGGATGGGGCCTTTAAAAATGTCAGTGAAGAAACTGAAGTGGAACTATGGAGCTGCAGAGTTAGTTTACTGGCTGGATCCACACATCTCCACAAACAACCCTGCACTGCTTCCATGGTGTGTAGATTTTTGCTCAGACTTACCAGCCAGACGATCACAGGATCACTCAGGTGGTGGTGTTTCCACAGTCCCCACTGTTCTCTTGACCTTGCTGCACATCCCTGCAGCCCAGTCTTGCCCAGGGACCCCAGCAGCCGCCTCCTAATGGGCCCGCTGCAGTCCTGGGGCAGGCTCTCCCCTTCCCACTCCTGAGTGTGCCCAGCCAAGCTAGTCCCCACATAGATTTTTATCAAATGAGAATAAGTAGTTTCACCACAATTCCTCCCTTCATGAAGAGGGAGGCAGACATGTCACTCAGTCAGTGAGGATAAAGCAAGCAGGAGCACATCTGTTTCTTGGGCGCTGAGGGCAGTACAGATGAAGGCTAGAAGTGGCCTCTTCCACAGCCACTCTGGTGTTTCTATACCAATCGTGGTAAAATGGCAATTCCAGGTCTGGATGACTGGAGCAGCTGCGGTAAAGGATGGGAACCCTAGAATAGGCCACTGACTCTCTGTGGCTTCAGAGAACTAAAGGTACCACGCAGAAATGCCACGATTGTGTCTGGACAATGCAACAATCCACTAGGGTAAGAGATCCCCTTGGTTTCTCATGAGGTGTGAATGGGGCCATCAGTCAGCTAATGATTGTCCTGAAGGGTGGCCTGATGGTAGACAGCAATGGGTGGGGTGGGGCGAGGGGGAAGCCCAATGCTTGGGCTACTACAGCTGATGGAGAACTTTTCAGAGCTTTGGCTATTGGACAGTACAAAAATATGAAGAGAATGCCTGCTACCCTTCCAGAAAAAATAGAAGTCACATTTCTTAAAAGAACCCTAAAACACTGGGCTAGTCACTGTATGTTATTTCTCCATAGTGCCTCCTTTCTACTCATTTGGGAGGCTTCCCAGCAGTGCTAGCAATCAGAAAATGAGGGTTACAGTAGCAGCACCTGCAGTTGCCTTGCCCAGCCCTTCGCAGTGAGGATGGGGCCTGCATGGTCCTTGATATACTGTCAGACTGCCAGCTCCCATCTTTCTTCACCACTGACTGTGCTGGCTGAGACCGATGGACTTCGCAGTCCACACGCTCTGGGGGAAAGGCTTGCCAGGGAGGTACCAGAGAGGGCAACTTGACCAGGGCCTTCTCAAACCTTCCACTGGCATTGAGTGGTTCCCTTGTAAAATATATTCTTGTACCTTTTGAACTAGGATAGTATATCATAGAGAGAAAGAACGTGAGCTTTGGGGACTGGAAATCCCCCGTTCAAAATCTCAGCTTAAGCATGTAGCCTCCTCTGCATCATGAAGATACTTATGGTGGCTTACTTTGTCAGGTTGTTGTAAAAAAAAGGCTGTATTACAAAGAACTGGTTGGAAAATATTTTTTTCTCAGCTGTGTCTACCTGGCTGCTCAGCCCAGGCTGAAAGGGATTTACCATGGTCTAGAATTATTCTGTATTCCTTTCCAGGCATCTAGTCTGGATGATTTTCATGTAGAACGCTTGTTCTCTGCTGGGCTCACAAGAGGAATTTTGTTAGATTCTTACCCAAGCTGGTGTGAAAGGCTAACTTGGTGCTGAGGAAGCCCCTTCTGCTATTTCTGGGGACCAAGATTCATGCTGAGGCACCTGGCTTCCCATGGCTTCTGCCGTCATGCAAACCCTCAAATAATCCCCAAACAATCCATGCATTATTTGAGGTTGTCTAGCTCTCAAACAACCCTGCATGACCCAACAAAGCAGGGCAAATTGGCGCACAATGCAATTTTATGCAATGTTTACTGCTGTTCACCACCTAGAGAGCTTCAGCTACAGGGCCACACAGAAAACATAAACAGCCCCCACGTAAATAAAGCCATGGTGGTAAATTAAGCCATGGTGGGCTGTTGTATTGTGTGAACCAGGTCAAATGTTGTATCTCTCTGGTATGTAAACATGTGCTGAGCATCTTTCATGGCGTGTGCACATGTGCGAGGAAAGAGGGGTGCTGATGAGGTATGACTGTGCAAGTACAGCATTTCTTTTGATTAATAAAAAAGACAAACATGCAGTTTTTGCAGAACGGTAAGATTGTGTGAATAGAAATCTCTCACAGCTAAATTAGGCACAGAGGTATTAAGTGCATTAAGGATTTTAAACAGGAAAAATATGCACAGGCTTGCCTTGGTGTTCAAGGACAAAGAGTTCCCCCAAGCGCTCTGCCCAGGAATTACATGAAGATGTGCTCCATTAACTTTGCATCCTCGTGATCATCTAGAGGCAGCTCAACTACGCCTTCCTGTGCAGCAAGGACTGAGATGAGAAGTCTGGCTAGCTTCTCCCTCCTGGTCTGCAGGCATGTTTCAGCAATGTCCTTCCACCCCTCCACAGAGCAGACTGAATCGTTCACAATCATCCGTTCCAAGACGTCTATAAATTCAGAGGACAAAGAAAAAACATGAAAAAGAAGAAGTAGCATTTTTGCTCTTGCTGCCAGTGACTAAGCCTTTGAAGAGGCAATTTGACCTTTCAGAGCGGGGAAAGGACCGCACCAAGCGTGGGGAAGAGAGGAGCAGGAGGGTACAGTCTGGAGGAGGAGGTGTGGCTGCTCACGGCATCCTACAGCAGCCTTCGCTAATCGGGGGTCCTCCAACACTGACGTACCATTAATGCCTCTCATCAGGCTCTGCTGGCTGGGCATGAGGGGAACTGTTTGCCAATCAGAACTGCAGGGTCCCCGGTTGGAGGAGACTGGATGCAGGCAGAGTGGTCTCTATTGTCACTGAAAAGGCCTGGCTGTGCTCACCTTTGCCCTGGTTGGCAAGTTCCTCCAGCAACCGCAGACAATAGCTCCGGTATTCCGTGTGGATGAACGAGAGGACTGTTTCCCCCAGGGACATAAGGGCTGGTTGCCCATTCCACTCTTGAGTCAGGCGGCGGATGAGCTCTACAGTAGGACAATGCTTTATCAGGAAGATGTAGTCCCCTGCAACCAAGAAGCCAAATGGTTCGCAAGCATAACGGGCCCATAGTCCTCCGCTTCTAGCACCCGGTACACTGAGATACACCATTTCTGATAATGGCACAGATATGTGGGTATCACAGTTAGCTACCAGTGGAACAATTGCCCATTTATGTATCTAACTATTGTGTTAAGCTACACTGTAAACAGGAGAGAGGGAAGGAACACAGGGACAATGCCTTCTTTTCTCTCTTCCAGCACTGCAACAGTGTTGATAAATAACAGATCAAGGCTGCCTGAGAAACAGGATTGCTTCAGCCAGCACAAGGCCAACTGATGCAAGTATTGCCATAAGATGCGGCAATGAGGGCCACTAACTTAAAGGGGGATGGGCCACCAGGGGCTGTCTGCTTGTGCAGCACTCCTGCTCAGAGCTCCAGCTAGCCATAACCTCCTCCGGGGGGCCATCCCATCTTCCCCAGTTCCCCCAGGTTCCCGTTTCTCTTTCCCAGCTGTTAGTCACCATTTCATGACTACTGAGCATGCTCTGTTCTCACTGAGCTGCTTTTTCAGGACAAGGTGGCTGTTCTTTTTAAATGTTGAGCTTCTGCAAACATCTGCATTTCACCCAGTGTGTTGAGTCTCCCTCTTGTTTCTCAGAGGCCCAACTCCGCCTTCAGGTGGGCCACTAGCTTGGATCAGAAAGACAGTTAACAGAAGTAGAACTTCTGAGTCATGAAGGCTAACCCTAACCCTAACCTTGGACCTGGCTCATGTTTTGCTACTTGACTCGCGGGTGGTAAAGTGGCATCCTCTTTAAAAAGGAACAGCGCTTCCCTCCACGGTTTGAACAGACATTAGGGAAATGCTGGACTTGCTCCTGGGAAGGGGCTTCCTGCCAGCAGATCTACTCAATGTCACAGACATTTGCTGCAAGAGCAGCAGTGTGTGTGCCTGCCTCCCCGTGGCTCATACAGCAGCAAGCAAAATGCTAATTCTGCAGCTAGCAGACAAGCCAAGCCTTTCAGAAGCCTTCTCTAGACCCAACGAGCTGTCCCAAATCCTGTTGCAGGTGGCCAGGCCCCAAAATTGTATGGCTTGAAGCAAAACCTGCACCCTTACACCCTTGTCCCCCTTCACTATGAAGCTTCCCTGAATGCCCCATCTTCTGAGGCCAGACAGGTGAGGTGCCTTGAACAGGGTCACCTGCACAGTGACGCACCCTCTGAGAAACTTCAGACCCAAAAACGGCCACCTGCACCTTTTCAGAAGAGTCTCCCTGGTTAAATAAGGCTGTGGCTGATTTCACTTGCTTTGATCAGCACTGGGCCTCTCCTGGGTTGTTTTTAAATTGCAGCAACCATTTTCATTTCACTGTATTTTCACACGTGCATGAAATGGTGCCGAAAGCTGCCCTGAAGGCCCTGGGGAGACCAGCAGACAAGATACAAAGATGGCTCTGAAGCCTACCGGTGGGAAGGGGCTTGCACTGGTGAAGGTAGTCCATGGCTCCAAAGATCTGGCCCTGCTTGCATAAGCACAGGGCAGCTTTTCTGTGTGCGCCACACTCGCCGTAGACGATCTGAGCCAGAGCCAGGCACTGCGACTTGTTGTGCTTATCCACCTCCGCATACTTGTAAATCGCATCGCCAGCCGCCTCAGAGAACTCCAGTCTGAGGGAAACAAGCAAGCTTCGGGTAGTCGCTGGGCCTTCGTCGCACAGTGAAGACGAGTTTGCCCGACTTGGCTGGAGCCGGACTGCACTGCCTGGCCCACTGATGCACAGGAAGCGGAGCCTGCAGTGCGTGGGGCTTCTGTTCTCGGCACGGCCAGAGGTCTGGAGTGCTGAGAATTGGTGCAAAGCTTCCAGAGACCGACTTTCCACCCGCCAGTGGCCCAATCTGCATGTCTGCAACTGGCGACCCACCCCTAGCCCTTGGCGCTCGCTGTGAGGCCCAAGCAGCTGGGGAGGCCACACGCCCTTCGTCGAGCAGCCCACCTGATCGAGGAACAATTAGACCACGGGGAAAATGCCACTGCTCCGGCACCACCAATGGGGAGTGTGGGGTGTGCATGTGTGGAGCAGGCTTTCCCCTCCCTTGGCACCTTTGGTACGTGACGCATGTGCTCCGCCCCGAGCTATGCTCCCCGCTCCACAGATGTTGCAGGTGGCCACCTACCTGTGCAGGGTGACCCAGTGCATTACCAGGTCCAGCCGTTTTTCACTCAGGGCACATTTGATGGCCTCTGTGGTCAAATTTGTAGGAAGAGGCTGCTCCACAGCAATGGCTGTGCTGACAAGAGCTTCGCAGTACATGAGAAGAGGCAGAGTCTTCCCTTTAATGGGGCCAACAGCTGAGGGGGAAAGCCAGGGAGTTAAAAGCAAAGCAAAAGTATGAAAAACACATGCACTGGCCGGAGGCTATTTGGCCTTTGTTCCATCAGCCCTTTGCTGGTGCAGGTTCCCTATCAGAAATGAGGCTTTAAAATAAGGGAAGAGGCACATACTTATTTACCTGCTATAACTTAATTTGCTAGCAGGAGTCAAAGAATTTGGATATTCTTGGAAAAGTTATGGGAATTTGGGAGCAGGAGGGAGGAGACAGGTTGTGGTAAGGGAGGAACAAAGGGCAGGAAGAGCCATGGACCAAGATTATCATTTAATTATAAGTTTTAAGCCAGTCTAATGATGGAAAAAATTAGCAGCAGCTTGGTAAATAAAAATCCATGAAGAACATAAATGCTTCTAAAAAGAATCACGGGCTTTGGTGAGTCTGAGTCACCTTGAGGAACGAGGGAGACATCTAACAGTTTAAATCTGGGGTGTTAAAGGGATGACTCAGAGCGCAATCTGGATGGATATGAAACTGGTGCCCTTCCAATGTGTTAAGACTACAGTGCCCATGAACTCCAGCCAGCATGGCTATTGGCTAGGGGTGATGAGAGCCATAGTCCAGGATGTTTGGAAGGCACCAGACTGAGGAGACTGGACTTAAGCAACAAAGGATCATGGGGAACTTTAGAAACAAACTTCTTGATTGTGGTGTTAAGATTTCGTGGCTGCTTGTCTTGTCCAAAGAAGTATGTGCCACCATGAGATTGCTCATATTTATGGCATCACAGGGCTCTGTTATTTTCACAGCAAGAGATCAACAAGGCTGAGCCTCTGGATTTTGAGAGCCATTGTGGTGCAGTGCCTCGCCATACCCCTAAACTTCTCCAGGGCTTCTTCATTGCAGAGGATTCCTCTTGGACAGTTGGCAGCATATATTGCTGCAGCCTCGTACTGACCACGGGAAAACAGTTCGTTGAACCTAGAACAGAAGAAAGAATATAGGATTCTCAGAGACAGGTGGCAGATGCAAAAGCAAGTCTGTTCCTGGAAAGGAGAGCTGGCTAGCTAGGCCTGCCTCCATAGTCCGGGAAAGATGGGCCAGCAGTCCCATTGGAAATGCTTTCCCTTCCACACTCCAGCCACGTCACCATAAACAGAGGGACAGCTGCAGCGGAAAGCAGGACTCTCTTCCCACGGCCCAGCTCTTTGGCTCCCAGAAATGAGAGGGAACTGTGGAGGAGGAAGACAATGAAAGCTGAGCTCTGCTCCTTTGCGCGTGCAAATGAAGCAGGAATTGCAATCATCTCTCTGGTTCCCTCTGGCTTTCAGGTCCCATTTGTCTCCGAGCCCACTCCTTCAGCAAACCCTTGCAGAACCAACCCTGGCTTCTCCTTACCTCACCTCCACTTCTTCTACCAGCTTTTCACAATTCACATCAGTCCTGGACCTTGTGTCTGTCAGTGCCTTCTTCAGCCACTGAGAACCACAGGAACCCGGGGTCATGGCCACACTACTGTGCTAATGTTAAACCTGCCCTCACTTCTGTTCTTTGCTTCCTGCTACATCTCTTGTTCCATTTTGCAATAGGGACAGAACCTGCCCTTCCCTGGGCAATAAACAGGTTCGATAAGAGATACAATCTCCCAGGTCCATTGGCTGTTGGCCATGTCATTGCCCAAAACATCTGGCAGGCACCCAAAAGTGTATCCCTGAGTCAGATGGACCAAAGCTTTCGCTTGGGAAAAGGAAGCTCTGCATGTTCCTCTGAAGCACCGAACTTCACAGCCATCCCTGCCTGATATGTGGCATCTGCCAGCCTTCCCCAGCTGGGTGTGCTCTGACAGCAATTTTAGGTTTTCTGGCTGTGCTTGCCAAGCGCTCGTTGGCCTGCTCGGGCCCCCTTCCAGTGGTGCATCAGGCACCTTGACAGCACGGGGTGGACACTGCTCCTGCCCCTTGCAGTATCACGCAAGGTGTGCACGGCAACAGGGCTGTTCTCCATTTTCCATTCCCCCCGCCCCGCACTGTCGCTCTCATGTCTCACGCAGCAATATAATGAGGTAAAGGGCAGGAGCACACCGTGCAATGGGTTTGAAGCGCCTGGAAACATCAACCGCCTGGCCCAGGAAGTGTGTGCGCCATGGGGACAAGAGCAGGGGGCTCTTTCGGGGACCTCACCTTTCAATGTATTCAATGAGATCTTCAGCCTCTTTACGCTTGGAGGGGTCACGTTCAAATACGCTGGATATGCTGGAGACAATTGTACCTGCAGGGTGAGAACCTTTTATGCTCTCCAGATACAGAAGCAAGGGTCATGTCAGAGAAACTTGGAACTGCGAAAGTCTTTAAAGGGCATACCTGCTACGCTAGAAATGTACATGGGTGTCCTTCCACTTCAAATGACATGTTTCTTCCAAAGAGCCCTGGAAAGAGCACTTGGCCCGGGTGCTGAGAACTCTGTTGGAGCACCTGAGTCCACACAATGGAATGGCAATTCCCTCAGAGAAGGAATTGTTATTCCGTCTGTGATGTGTCAACAGGCTCACCAATATTCCCAACTCTGCTGAGAAGTGTGCACAATCCTGGAGTGAGGCAGCTCCCATTCAGAGAGCAGGCAACATGTGGTTGTCCAGATGTTTTGGCATACCAGCTCCCCACCCCACTCTGGAGAGGAAAGACAAGAACAGCAGAGGTGTGAAGACTGGGAGGGATGGAGAAGATGGCATAAGAAAAGTTCAGCTGAGAACAGAGGAACAGGAAAGGTCCTCCACTGGAAAGGATCTCTTAAAACAAGTCTTCCCTAGCCTGGGAACCTTTTGGGTGTTTTGGACTACATCTCCCAGCATTCCTGGCTATGGGCTGTGCTAGTTAGAGCTGATGGGAGCTGAAGTCCAAAACATAGGGAATGTACCACATTGTGGAGGACAGCCTGAAAGGGCAGCAATAAACCCAAGGAATAGCAAATAGCTGGAAGGAAGTGGTGTGCTAGAATGCACCAGGATAGCCGTTTGTGCTTCCATATAGCCTGAAGTGCCTAATCTTGGAAGCTAAGTAGGGTCGGCCCTGGTTAGAATCTGGACTGAGTCCTGCACTGAGCAGGGGGTTGGACTCGATGGCCTGCTAGGCCTCTTCCCACTGTATGATTCTATCTATCTGAGAAAGGGGCAAATAAGCTAGTGTGGAACAGAGAGCCGTAAGTGCTTGCAGACAGGCCAATAAGCCCCGCGGGGGCCAATACATTCAAACTGGATGGATCCACCAATCAACGTGCTCCGCACTCCACCATCAGCTCCTTCTGGGAGCTCTGGTGCAGAATGCGGAAGCGCACACTTATCTTTTTACCTTCTGAAAGCTTCTCATTTTCTATCATTTGAAAAATAAGCTGCTGCAGGGTGTCGATACTTCTGTCCGAATTCTCCCAGATATTCACGACATTTGCAAACTGTGTTAGTCGGTAATAGCTGCAAGGGAGGTGTGAACAGGCTGGTTTCTCGTCAGTCTCCTTGTTAGCACCCTCCGAATGATCCCTTCAAGATTTGTCCTCCAGACACCCTTTTATTCTCATCACCTTGCTTCTTTTAGTCTCCAAAAATATAAGAAAATCTCTTTGCTGCAAACTTTCTCCAGCAAATACCTCTGTTCTGATATAGCAGGTTGCTCACAATTCCTCCAAGGAACGATTCATGCATTACATGCCCTAATTACAGAGCTACACATCTTTCCTGTATTTGCATTCAAAGATGGGTATATGGCCTGAATTGACAATGCATGTCTCTGGCTCCTGAAAGATCCAAAATTTTTAGGACCCACCGAGGTCTAGATTCTACAGGTCATTTAAGGTGCAATTCTATGCAAGTTTGGATAGGAAAAAAGCCCTACAACTCACAGCATCCCCCAGCGAGCATGACGCTGACAAAGCATCCTTTACATGACCAAGGTTACAGAGGCAGAGACAATGGTGATACTGTAGAAGCTCCAGTGCCCCCGCAGGATAAAGGAGAAAAGAGAGAACAGTCCAAAGTACCCACTTTAAGAATAGGTAAACACAGGCTGCGAGGACGACTGGCCTACCAGAATTTCAGGCTCTCGTTCTCTTTCTCAGCCACATTCCGCAGGTGAAGGGCACGCTTCATGTCCTTCTCCACACTGACGGTGTTCTCCAGAGGGATGTATTTGGTCAACATGTCTTCTTTCAGCTCCTTCGTCCTCTGCTGTAGGTGAGCAAGGTGGCTTGATAGAGCACTTATGTCGAAGGAATCTTTCAGGTTGAGACCTGTTGAGAAAAGGGGGAGTATAGCTAGGACTGGCATGCATCCGTTCTTGGGAAATGTGGGTTGTACGGTGCCACGCCACTAAAACAGATCAAAGCTATTGCAGGATGCTAAGTTACAATATCCCATTCAGGTGACTGTCCAGATGCTTTTTGAATGTCTCTAGCAAGCGAGCACCCACAACTCCCCCAGGTAATGGGTTCCACTGTTGTACTGCTCTGACAGTGAGGAAATTTTCCCCGGTGTCTAGTCTAAATCTGGCTTCCTGTAATTTGATCCCATTAGCCCCTGCGCTGCACTCTGGGATGATTGAGAAGAGACCTTGTCCTTCCCCTCTGTGAAAGCCTTTCAGGTACTTGTAGAGTGATAGCATGTCCCTCTGCAGTCTTCTCTTCTCAAGGCTGAACATGCCCAGCTCTTTCCATCTCTCACTGGGCCTTGTCTCCAGTCCGTGAATCATCCTTGTTGCCCTCCTCTGTACCCCTTCCAGATTTTCTGCATCTTTTTAAAACTTAGGTGCCCAGAACTGGGCATGGTAATCCAAGTGAGGTCTGACTAGTGCTGAGTATAGGGGAAGTAGTACTTCACATATTTTGGAAGTGATGCTTCTGATAATGCAGCCCAGAACAGCATATGCCCTTTTGCAGCTGCATCACTTTGTTGGCTTATATTTAGCTTGTGACTGACAACAACCTCAAGATCCTCCTCATTTGCAGTATTATTGAGCCAAGTATCCGCATTGTGTAGGAGTGCATTTGCTAGACTAATTCTCTGACCACCGGTCACACTGGCTGGGTTCTAGCCCAAAACAGGCGAACGGCACTGAATTGCCTACCTGTGGGCTAAATGGGCCAACCGCCGGGATCTGGAGCAATCTGCTCCGCATGTTCATATGAAATGCCAGCTACAAAGCAGTTCCTCGAGGCTCCTGCTCGATGGACTGCATATGCCAGTGTTCCCCAACTGGGCACCTTGCAAATGTGTTGGACAGCAGCTCCTAGGATTCACAGTTAGCATAGCCCTGCTGGCTGTGAATGATGGGAGCTGCAGTCCAACAAACCAGGCTGGGGGAGGCAGGCAAACTCTATCTAAAGACTGATCTGACCATCGCTTTCATCCACAGAAACAAATGATTAAATTAACCGGAGAGCAGGCGCAGCTTGTCCATCTTGCCATCTCTGCTTTGGCCTATGCTCTTACGGAATGGTTGCCGAGGACAGCAGTCCTGAATGTCAGTTTTTGGTAGAAAGATAGAGTACAAATCAATTAAGGATGGATTGATACACAGAATTTGGCAAGTAGCCAAGAAGACAAAGACAACCAGATTTCTTTGTCTAAGACACAGGCAACAAAAAGCAGAGCTTTTTCACATTATTTGGTTACTTTTTTCAGTTTATATAAATAAGACATATTTTTTTCAGATATGAATTATGTCTCCTGTTAGTTTGCAATTGTTTTTGCTCTTTTGTTACCTGACCATCTATATTTTCTTGGTTTATTTTGCACCCATGATGGTTAAGGGATACTTTTAACTGTATCTATATATCCATACATATGTACAAGCTTTGTATAGTTGGAATTTATTTTTAATTCAATATCTTTGTTACTTTGAACTTACATAAAGTGGACATGGCTCAATCAAATCAAGCAGAAAAGATATTTGCAGCTTTCTCTTCTTACAATCAGTGGGACTTAAAAGTGTGCAAATCTGGCTGGCTCAAGCTCCAAATTTAACTTGAACTGTAGTTAAGTGGGTTACCTGGTATCTTCTGAGCAGGATTGACTTTCTTGGTTGGGTTTTGCGATCCATCTGCAGCAATGGTGAGTCTTAAAGTTCTTATTTTCTGAATTAAGTTCTCAATTCTTGCAGAATTTCTCTCAATTCTTTTGATCCTAAAAAAATCCAAAACAAGAGCCCTTTAAATAGTAAGTCTTTAAATCCTGCCTCATTTCCTGAAGGTCAAGGTAGACAGAAGGTAGCTCCAGGATCTATTGGTAGATTTCTGCTTGATTTCCCATGCATCAGCAGGGCTCCTGACTCCCAGAACAAGCTTGTTTGTGGTACTTGTCACAAATTCCTGGACTTACCATGTGCTCAGAAGCACTGTTCCTTAACTTTTATATCAGCCTATCAAGATAACTAGTTTTCATCCAATTATAACTAACGGAAAACAGGAGTCTATCAAAAAACAGAGCAGCCCTTAGAGTCAAATGTCCATCAGTTCCTTCCATAGGTAGCTATTACAACCTTAACCATTAAAAAAGACCTGGGATTAAGGAGCGGGCACTGTAGATGCTTGCAGTGTTCTTAGTATTTTTAACTTCTTGTACTTTTTTGAGAGGGACTGCTTAGCTTGGAGCAGTTTCACCGGGGATGTGGAACTAAAATGCTGAGTGAGTTTTCATGAGCCCAGGGTGGACAGACTTGAGGCTCATCAGTTTCACTAGGGCCAAGATCCACCAGCCAGAGTTAAGTGCAAAAACAAATGCTTGATGTACAACAACATCCAGGGACAAGGAATTTGTTCGCAGAACAGAACTGAACTCAAGCAATCCTTTCACACAATAGTCTGCTCCTGGCTGTGCTGTCTTCACTTCAGCAGCACAATTCACTTGTCACAATCCTATGTGTTTAGGCACCAAAAGATCTACATCATGTTCCAGCCAGCAATCTCAACCAATCTACTGCAAATCATGCAGAAATCTATCAGGAGATGCTTTCTTCCTATCTCTGCTTTAATAATGAAGAGGCTACGGGTAAACAAAGGTCCAATGCAGCTATTTATTCTTAATTTTCAGCATAAAAGGTTTGAAACAAGGTTTGATGCGGTGCAACCTCCTCTTCACTTCTGGAACAGGGCATAACTATTTATCTCACAGTTCATACCCAGTCTTTCTATGACAAATCCCAACCATTGAGGCATTTGAGGAAGGGGTTCTTCGTACTTTTAAAACTTCTTGTTCTTTTGAGGGGGGTTATTTAGCTTTGCACAAATTCACTTGGGATGTGGGAGTAACACTGTGAGCATTACTATGATATGCAGCTTAAAAAGTAAAAGTGTACAACACATTTAAAAGCATCCTGCAGAAGAGAATGAGCAAACAGCAGCAGTTAAAAAAGAACATTACAACATAAATCAGCAGAGAGCAAGCTTAAAAAAAATCTTCAAAAGCTCCCATTCTAAAAATGCCTCCCAGAATGAAATGTTATTAAGAGCTCATTTTAAAGCAGGTCAGGATGGTCACCAGAAATACAACCTCAAATATATTGCAGTTAGTCTTTCCAAGCACATCTCTGATCTGTTTGGAAATCTGTAGCTCATCAGTCTCTTGCAGACTTGGTCCATACATTGTGTAGGGCTTCTGAATATTCAGCATTAAGCCAAAGATTTATTGGGGCTTCTTATTCTGTTTGCTTTGCAGGAAGAAAAATGTCCTTTTGCACAATTTTTTTTTCTTTTGAGAGTTTTTTTCTCTGCCATTCTTTCTGTTCCTACATGTTCCATTACAAAGCACAAGGTGGCATGGAAGATAAGAATTGTGGAGAAGCAGAATGAATTCTTTTTAATTGTCTACATAGATGAGAATGCAGAACAGATGCATGTTCCTGAACAGATGTGTTAAGGCAGAGGAATTAAGGCAGATAGTGGTGACAAAATTCTCAACCTTACTGACAAACTGAACATGGATAAATCACTGGGCCCAGCTGGTATCTATCCCTGAGCTATTTAAGAGCTCAAATATACAATATGTCCTTAAGTTCATCCTCTGTGGCAGAGGATTAGAAAATAGCCAATGTCACACCAATTTTTAAAAAGAGGTCTGGAGGGCAGTTAGCTTAGCATTTATTCTGGGTGAATCGGTTGAAAGTGTTATTAAAGACAGAATAAGTTAGTCCATAAAGTGACAAGCACTGCTGAAAAAAGAAACAGCATATCTTCCATAAAGGCAAACCCTGCCTCACAAACCTCTTAAGAGTTCTTTGAGAGTGTCAAGAAGCAGATGGATAAAACTGATTTGGAAAACATGGTTTACCAGGACTTCCAAAAGTCTGTTGACAAAGTCCCCCACCAAAGACACCCAAGAAAACTTAGAAGTCATGCAATAAGGGGGGGGGGTTTCTCATATGAGTCACTAACTGATTAAAGAATGAAGACAGAGAGTGGGATAAAATGGCAAATTCTCCCAATGGAGGGATGTAACCAATGGGGACCCACACGGTTCTATATTAGGGCATCTTCATAAATGATCTGGAATTAGGGGTAAGCAGTGAAGTGGCCAAGTTTGCTGTTGGCACTAAACTTTTCAGGGTGGTTAAAACCAAAAGGAGTTGTGAGGACCTCCAAAAGGATCTCTTCAAGCTGGGCGAATGAGCATCAGAATGGCAGCTCAATGTAAGCAAGTGCAGATTGGGGCAGAAAGCCCAATTTCAAATACAGGCTTATCAAGACAGAGATCTTGGGGGGGGTGTGGACAGCTCAATGAAGATCTCCAGTGCCATAATTTGAAAAGGAACTGAAAATAAAACTGCCAAGATCATTTTCCCCTTATACAAAGCTTTTGTGTGACCACACTTAGAACACTGTGTACAGTTCTGGTCACTACACCTGAAAAAAGACATTGGCGAGTTGGAAAAAGTACAGAGAAAGGCAACAAAAGTTGTCATGGGGCTGAAGCAGCTCCCCTTTGAGGAACAGTTACAGTAAGTGGGATTCTTTAGCTTAGAAAAAGGGTAAGGCAAGATACGATTAAGATGTTTAAAATTATGCATGGTTATAGAGAAACTGGAGAGGAAGACATTTTTCACTTTCCCCCAGAACACTAGAATCAGGGTCAATCCTGTGTTAGGAAATTCAGCTGATGGGTGAGAAATTCAGGATGGATAAAAGTAATGTGTTGGAGCAGAGCTTTGCAAATACCCTGGACTGACAGAAAGAGGAACAAGTGGGTCCCAGATCGAATCAAGCCAGAACTTTTCCTAGAAGCAAAATTACAAAATTGAGGATGTCGTATTTTGGGTACATTATGGGAAGGCAAGACTCCCTGGAGAAGACACTCACGCAAGTCAAAGGCAGAAAAAGGAAGACCAGATGAGAGATGGATAGACTGCATAAAGGAACCCACAGCCTTGAATTAAGAAGAGTTAAGCAAGGATGTCATGCACAGGACACTTGGGAGCGCCTTCATTCCTAGGATTGCCGTAAGTCGGAAATGTCTTGACGGCATATAGCAACAAACAACAAAGCAAAGGCACTAACCTATGAGGGTGCAGATAGAAAAATAGCCTATAAACGTCTTTACAAAGCACTTGGTTGAACTAGGGAATTCACTGCCACAGGAAGTAGCGATGGACAATGGCTTTAAAGGGGACTGAACACATTCATGGAAGAGGTGGGTATCAGTGGCTTGTTCTGTGTTGTTGCACCTCCCCATGGCTGCCCAGCCAAAGAGTGTTTCCCTTCCTGGGGGTTTCTCAAAATAAAGGGTGTGCTTGCTGGAGGAATCTTGTGCAGGAGCTCTTTCAGGGGCTGATATAAACCCTATAGGTTAAAGCCCCACTTTATTATGCTCAAAGCCAGATCAAGTTATTAGGCTCAAAACTATGCCTCGAGGGTCCCCATCACCAAAACAGTACCAAATATCCAAAGAGTTGCTTACTTTTCTTCCAGTTGAGTAATTCTCTTTTTGTAATACATGAGAGTTGAAGGTTCACATGCTAAAACTTTCAATTTCCCATGAAGATAAAATGCATTGCGTTGACCCTTCTTTATTGCTTCAATAAAGGCATCATATTCCTGCTTGATTGTAGTCAGGATGCCCTTGTACGTGTTGACGTGCTCAATGATCTACATGCCAATAATAATGAGAGGCTGGTTAGCCGCCTCTGCTGCTTTCTGACACCAGAAAAAAGCAAAGGCACTAAAGGCTCCACTCCAAAACCCCTTACAGAAATGCTGAGTAGTTAAAGCTACAAGAAAGAGGAAAATGGAAGACAAAGCCTGCTAGGAGCATCCTGCCACCCACAGTAGCCAACCTCTGTTCCAAAAAGGCCTTTCCTCTTACAGCCATGACCACATTATGTGAGCGCTAATTCCACTTGTCAGTTCTCATCAACACAAGCCCAAAATATCCAGCCTTGTACAACAAGCTTTTAGCAATGTTAAGCAGCAGACCCTAACTGGGAATTGGTTTTGTGCAGTGGCTAACACTGTGGGCTGTGAGCAGGGCTAACTCTGTTTCAGTCTTGCCCTAGCAGAGATGGCTTTAGCTGAGTTACTATCTCAGCTTCCCCATTTGCAATATCAATATACCATTATTGATAAATCTAACATGGTTTTATAGATATATGAGCATCTACCTTCCCTTTGTACAAGTGAGGAAACAAGCTACAAAGTCTTTTATTAACTATAGTTTACAGCTTTGGAACAATTTAGGATAATATGTCAATATTTAAAGTTGGTTTAACATGCTGGCTGTTTCAAAGCTATCATCCCCAGGTTCCCAGTTTAGGCAAAATAGGAAATGTAGTTAGTGGAAAAGTTCTTATACCAAAGACCAGCTGCCCTGGAGGGGGTCACATGCAGCTTGGTTTGTTAAACTGAGATATGTCCAAATGCTGCCAAGAAATAGAAAACATTTTGCACATTAAGAAATAAATGTTTCATGCTATTACTTTGTGACAATTTCAAAAAAAAAAAAAAAAGCCAGATTAGTATGCCAAAACTACCATGATAGCTATCATTGATCTTGGAAAGGCAAGTATTCTCAATTACCTTTTCAAACACATTTCTGTATATTATATAATACTCCTCAGCTGGCCCTTGCTCAGTACATCCTACTTTCTCAATTTCTGAAATGATATAATCCTGGATGCTCTCCAGAAATTCCTTCTCAGTCTCTGGGATGATGGGAGGCAGCACTGGGCGACTGCTTGCTCCGATGCTAGCAGCCTTCATGGCGGAGAAGCCGAGCCTCCACTGCAGACAAAATCTAAAGTTCGATTGCTTGTCTGGCTCAAAAATGTTTCAATCAAAACCTAAAAGAAAAAGTTACACAATTAAGTATATGGAAACATATCAAAACAGTGCAATCTTCAGGATTTTGACAGAAAGGTTAGTCCTACAGTGGTCTAACTCCTTAAATTCAGCTTGGTATAAGAGAGCTCGCGTGTGCAGCGCCTGTGTTTATTTCCCCAGAGGCAATCCAGTTCATGTCCATGAGGGCCACTGCCGGCTGAGCGTTCCCTGGGACGGCAACCTAGCAGTACAACCCTATACATGCCTACGCAGAAGCAAGGGCTAGTCAGTGGATTTTACGCCCGGCCGATTCATTTTTCTGGGAGTAAGATTAATTTAACTCAATGAACGGGCACCCGTGAGAGGCCGTTTCCAGAGCCAGCTCTCATGAAAATCACTTGAAATTTTATTTCATTTTAAATGTAAGACTATCCTTCCCCACCAAACATGGATCCCTCTTCTTTTAGGAGCGCGTCTCCCGTTCCTTTCAGCGCGAGATTTTGAAGGTTACCTTTGACCCGACCACCGCGCGACATCACAGCGGCAGTCGGCAGCGCCGCTGAGCGGCATCAACCGGCCTGCGGGAGGAGGGCAACGCCAAGAGGCGGCCCGATGCATGCTGGGGAATATAGTCCTCCAGTCCTCCCTCACTCTCACCTTCAACGAGTACATGTAGCTTTCCGCTTGCAACTCCCAACGGCCCTTTCGCGCCCCAGCGAAAGACGAGAACTCTTCCGTCGCTCATCCCACGCGCCGCCTCGATCTAAAAACCACTGCTCCCGTCGTGCCGCCTCATGAGATCTGCGTGGTGTTGCATGCCGGGAGTGGTAGTCCGCCCGCTGCCGGCAACGTGAGGCCCGCCTTCCCCCTGCCTCAGTCTTGGAAACCCCGTGCGCGGCTGAGGGCAGCCTCTTTCCGGTGTCCGCCATTCCGCAAGCAGGTCGTGGGTGAGTGGCTGCCGCGTCCCGTCCCGTCCCGTCCCCTCGTGCGGGGCTCGCGCGGCCTAGGCCGGGGTTGGCGCGCGCCTCACTGCTCGCCCGTGTTGTTTCCTCAGGTGCAGCCGTCGCCGGCGGCCCCGCTCGAACCGACAGCGCCGCCGCCATGCAGATCTTCGTGAAAACCCTGACGGGGAAAACCATCACCCTTGAGGTGAGGGCGGGACGCGGCGTGGCGCGGGGGATTCATAGGCCGCGTTGGAGCGGTCCTCGAGCGACGCCTTGCCGCCCTCCTCTGCAGCTCGGTCTGCCGCCCTCAGCCACGGATGACGGCGGGAATTTTGTTGTGAGGTTATTTCTGATGGCCGGCGTGGCGTGAGAGTGCTGGCCTGGCAGATCCGGGTCTAGTCCCTTTCGACATGACCCGGGCCAATCACTCCCTCTCAGCTTAACCTGCCTCACAGGGTGGTGGTTGTGAAGATCACAGTAAAGGGGAGAACTCCTGTAAGTTGCATTGGGCTCGCGGTAAAAGGAAGAAAAGGCGAGATGTAAATGCAGTAACATTTACGTGAAAATGGCTCCTTGTAGGGTGACAAAAATCAAGAAAGAATGAGGATAAAAGGAATTATTTAATTCATGCAGCACACAAACTGCAGAATTAATTTGTGCAAGAGGTAGTGATGATGGCGACCAGTTTGAGAGATAGGCCAAATTCATGGAGGAGGAGAGAGATCAGTGGCTACTAGACCTGATGGTGCTAGTTTCAGAAGCGGCATGCGGGGGCACATGGGCAGAAAGGTGCTGTTGCACTTACGTCCTCTTTCTGGCTTTCTCTTCGGCAGCTGGCTGGCGATTGTGTGATAGAATGTGGGACCAGATAAATGCAGGATTCAGCATAGCTCAGTCTCTTAAAAGAGAGGTCTTTGCCCTGAGGGTATCGGCACTAATGTAGCTGTACAGAGCTAGATGTAGATTTGGGAGAGTTCTGAAAGATTTAGCCAAAGGAGGTATATGTTTCAGGCAAGGACTTTGAGACCTCATGTAAGCACATGGTAGGGGTGCTCATTTTTTTAAAACAGAAAACACCCAAGGTGATGCATTACAGTTCAGTTGTGCATATAGCTTTACTACTTTTTATAACCTGTATGTGCACTGGGTAACAAGAATCCTGCTGGATGAGACCAAAGGTTTGTCCAACTTTCAGTTTCCCAACCAGATGCCTCTTGGGAAGCCCACAGACAGGCGAGGAGGGCGGTGACCCCCTGCCACTGCTCTGCTTCCACTTGTGGCCACCCATCTGGCTGCATACCTAAACCTCTCCAGCTGAGCCAAGAGGACTCAACCTGTTATGCAGGTGGACTAATCGGAGTTGATAATAGGTGCATTTAACCGGGTATGTAGTTTCAGATGAAAATATAATATAGGACTTAAGCAAAACTTTGGTTTGATGGCACATCTGTGGGCGTGGGGGGAAGAATGATGGGTTTCAGTTGAAGCCCTGACAGTGCATCTTTTCTGAGGAGCTGTGAAGTTAGGCTGACATGCTGACAGCCATGTCTTGAAGCCAAACCTGTTATATATTTCAGAACTCCACAAAGACACTGGACTAATTTATCTGGCAATTCTGCAATTTCTTTGTAGACGTAATATATATTCTTAATTAACTTGAATCTGCTGCACATCTCAAATGTGGCTTTTATTTTTTAATAGGTTGAACCGTCTGATACTATAGAAAATGTCAAAGCCAAGATTCAGGATAAGGAAGGTAAGGTTGCTGTAGTTACGGAACACTCATGTTTTATGTTTGTTCAGTTCTTCCATTTTGAATGCTCTTTCCTATCAAGGAAACCTGGCTTGCAGTCTTAAATGCATAAACCTGGCTGTTAACCCCATTGAATTCAAATAGACTTTTGAATAGATAAGTATAAGATTGCTGGGTCAGTGTTTTGGTAAAGGATTTGAAAATTATTTAGGACCCGAAGTGGATTTTTTTGGAGTGAGGTATTTTGGATCCTGTGAACACACTGGTTTTGGTTCTTTTAAATTACTTCTAAATGATCTGGAGAAAAGAGCTTTGGCTATTGGGTGGTATAGACATTAAATAAGCTGGATACTGTTAGCTGTATTCATGTGACATTTTAAACTAATCTGGAAAAACAAGAATGGGACAAAGTGAACAACACGGTGTTAAAGGGCAGGGAACTTACTAAGGAAAAGATGTTGAGTATTTCTGTACTAGTAAAGAGGAAGCTAAATGCAGTGAAGTTTTTTTAAAGTGTAGTAAGGGACAGAGGAAGAGATCAAAGTTTATTTGCTCTTTCTGTGGTTTTATGAATAATGCAGAATGAATGGATAATACGTTTTGGGATGCCAATTGAAATGCATAGGTAGCAGGTAGAACAGACAGGTTACTTGATCTACCATATAATCAACTGGTGGTTAAATCCTTTTACGAAGGCTCGGTCCCTTCTCTGAGGAGATTGGGCTTGGAGAACAGTGTTCTTGACTCTTTTTTGTGATATTAGAATGCAGGGAGCATTCAGTGAAGTTGAATGGTGGGGAATCCAAGACAGAAAAAAGTACTTCCCACAGCATGTAGTTACAAATGTAGAATTTTCTGCTGCAAGATGTAGTGATGGCTTTAAAATAGGTATTTGATTCATGGACAATAAGGTTGTCCCTGGTTGCTAGTCATAATAACTATATATTAAGTCAATTACTGTCTGGGTGCAGAATGTCTCTATACTAGTTGCTGGAGAGCACAAATTGGTTGGTGGGGGTAATACTGCACTCTCGCCCTGCTTGTGACCTTCCCATTGGGGCATCTGGTTGGCCACTCAGAACAGAACATTGGACTAGATAGGTCTTTGTTCTTATCTAGCACAGGTTGTACTTTATGAATACATGGAGGAGATAGATATGTTGGGTATGCAAATTCAGTCCTAATTTTAAGAGATAGTAACAGGCCTCCAGATTTTGGAGTTTGATTTATGGAGTCTGAAAATTGTAATCACATCCTGCCTTTACATGAGACATTTTAATTGTTATAGGAGTAAAAAGATATATTTCTTATTAGGATCTTACGTGATCACATTTTTATTTTAGGGATTCCTCCTGACCAACAACGTCTGATTTTTGCTGGAAAACAATTGGAAGATGGACGTACTCTTTCTGATTATAACATTCAAAAGGTATCTACTTACCAAGTGATTTGCTAAACCATAACATAGTATATCATATCCTACAGCAGCAAATTGACTTCTGTTACTTCTAGTAGTTGCAATTTATGGAAGTGACAGCAGGAGTCGATCCCACATTATTCCTTTTTAATAGGATGTAGGAACTGGTCATGGGCCTTTTTAGAAGGTGGGAGTACATGGAAAAATACTTTCAGTCCTAAAGAGTCATGCAGATTTCTAGTAGGTTGGCTTTTATGTAATTGTATGACAGTGGAATTGTAAACTCTGAATAGCACTTTGTACACCATGACTATTCCCAAATATCAGCAGCACTGACATCAACAGATGCGGTATGAGCTTAGTAATCATGAAATTTGAAAAGGCATGCTTTTGGGCAACTGTGTTTAGTAGCCATTCAAATTAGAATTTGGTTTATTTGGAGCACTGGGTAGTTAGGAACCTATTGGTAAATCTTGGACCTATTGGTAAATGCATTCCAATCATTTTTTGAGGCAGATGCATGTAAGCCTCCAAACTTGGGCTTTGGAGTTCCAGCTCTAAAGTCACAGGACTTTGATGATGAAGCTCTGAATGATTCTATGACCTTTCAGATGGTTTTCAGAAGACCATGAGATTACATACTTCAATGGATCAGTATGGATGCCTAGCTTCTAGAAACAAATTAATAAAATTCAAAGTTAAAACTTCTTATGTGTTAAGTTGAATCACTCATTTTTTCAGCTTTATTATTCCTCTCCTGTAAAGTATGAGTATTGACTGAGTGCCACTGACAGTATTTTTGCTAAGCTGTACTGGTTGCTCCAAAAAACTATTCTTGTTTGAATCTCAGTAGTAGCTTGAAAGTTTATTTGTAATATTTGCAGTTTGTGGCTCAGGGTGCCATATGCTATTGACCCCAGAATTTTGCATCTGACTCTGATTGGTGGACCTCAAGATTTGTTTTGATAAAGAACAACAAATAATCCAACAAATCTGAACTTTGAGCACTTTTAAATTAGAATATCGACATTTAATTTGCTTCAGTTTGAAAAGTGGTGCTAATGTTTCATACTTTTTGTTACTTGTAATTTACCCTTGTTTGAACAGAACAGTGCTTTATGAATGCGAAAGTGCTATGATTTGGTTGGGCTGCATCAGCAAGTTGCCCAGGGCAATTTGCGATTCATGGTTGAACATAGAACTTGTGTTGGCCTGCATATGGGACCATCAAGTTACTTGGTCATCTGGTTACCAGGATTGGTGCCTTTCGCTTACAAAGTCTGCTTTTTAAAAACAGGAGTCTACTCTGCACCTTGTGCTGAGACTTCGGGGTGGTGCAAAGAAGAGAAAGAAGAAGTCTTACACTACTCCTAAGAAGAACAAGCACAAGAGAAAGAAGGTCAAACTTGCTGTCCTTAAGTACTACAAGGTAAGAGCAACTTCAGTGCAAAAAATCATTGCGTGCAGGGAGGGAGTCAGCAGTAATAAACCACATGCAAGCAGCTGCAAGACCTCAGTGAATACGGATTCTACTGGCAGCTATTTCTGCATTTAATTGCCATGAGCCCTTATCTCTTTCTGTAATCTGCCTTTTCTATTTATAAGTAGAACTGCTTAGGGCAATTAATGCATGAATACGACATAGTGTTGCAGTGGTTGCCTTGCAGTATGTGTGGCTTGTGTTGGCTATTCCTTTCCACGAATGTCTTAAAATACTAGCACCACCATCCTGCTGGGCCCAAAATTTTCTGAAGGGGTAGAGGGTGGAAATGGAAAGTCATTTGCTTGAAAACCAAGAACTTGTGCTCATTATGACATTATAAATCAGGCTTCTGTTTTTCAAGGATGAAGGAGAGCATGTAGTGCTTCTTACTGAGCTTTCCTTTCCTTTGCAGGTGGATGAAAATGGCAAAATTAGCCGCCTACGCCGAGAGTGTCCCTCAGAAGAATGTGGAGCTGGAGTATTCATGGCTAGCCACTTTGACAGGCATTACTGTGGCAAGTGCTGCTTGACATACTGCTTCAACAAACCAGAAGACAAGTAATGTGTCTTTTGTAATAAAAATTGCCTTTAAACATTGCTGTGTTTCTGATTACTCAAGTGCATAAATGCGGTAACATTTTGCTAAACTTTGGTGTGGGGTGGGGAGATGCATGGATTGTGAGAAAATGGGGTGGTATAAAACTACTGGTGGGAGGGGCAATATCTGTGAAGCTCTCACCCGATCTGTGTTCTTGTTTTACTGGGGCAGCAGGGGCAGCATTCATGTAATATTTCCAGTAGAGATCCCAGAAGGAGGGAATCTAAGCAGAGTTCTGTTTATGCTGCCCTGTCATAGAGCTGGGAGGTATTGAACCATAATGCAAAATGCACCTTAGTTTATTTTGCATTTTCTGCCAGCTACAAAAGGAATAAATACTGGTTTATAGAATAGAATAATGGGTTTCCCAGGTAACCTGATGTGCCAGCAACTGGTATTGATGTTGCTCAAACATTGGTTTCTAATGAAATAATAAAGCATGTGTTGGCAGCTGGACATTTCTTGATCCTTTCCATAACTTTATTTGGAAACAAACCAGTATCAAAATCTAATTGGATAAGGTAGATACAACCAAATGAAGATTCCAAAATCAGTATTATTGTTGGTAAAAAGTTGGATTTGGTTTCTTGCTTGGTACAGACAGGACTGTTTAACATCATGCCATGAAGTGGATAATGGTCTGTGAAAATCTTTCTGGGGTGGTGGAAGAGCAGCATGTCAACTTCTACAAAATGATCTTTATTTGTTAATAAAATAGAATAATTTAACAAGTTAACTTTCCAAAGGTTATACTTTAAAAAGTCACATGAAATAGCCCTGCTCCATTTCAAAGGGCTTCCTTTTGAAGAACTTGTGCTCCAAATTTTGGTAACAAGCTAAAATGTGGATAAACTTTCTTACATAAAAAGCTAGGCCTGCCACCCTAGTATCTCCAGAAGTCACAGCTATGCAGAAAGTCAAGGAAATAATCCAACTGTTCAGGCAATGAAGACCTTCACAAAGGTGGTGATCTTCGCTTCTGGAGGGATATGTGGATGCATAAATGTGTTCCTTGTAAAGCATTGCAGGGAATAACCCAAAGACCTATGAAACATGTTGGTCAGCATCTGAAATGCAGGGGTTGCACAAAACCTTGCACACTGAAAAGCGCATGTGGTGGCTGCTTCAGCTAGCCCTGCTGCCCAAAATTTATGTTGTCTGGCTATACGTATGTTCTGAATGCATCAGGTAGTAGATGTGAATCATTTGAGCAATCCTCTAAGCCTTTTTGGACTGTTCTGAGGCCATCTGTGTTCAAGTGTTAGGACAAGTGATCCTATCCCATCTTCACTTTCATGGTATTTTTACTCTGAGCTTTGCAAAATCCTTGGCCAAAGGCAAATCAGTGGGTCCTTGATCAGATCAGAGCTTTCCCTAGAAGTCAAAATGACAAAGCTGAGGCTGTCATACTTTGGATATACCATGAGAAGCCAAGACTCACTGGAGAAGACAATTGTGTTCTGGAAAGTTGAAGGCAGAAGATGAAAGGGAAGCCCAGATATGAGATGGACTGAATTCATAAAGGAAGCCACAGCCTTGCACTTGAGCAGAGCTGTCAGGACAGGACGTTTTGGAGAGCTAGCTTTCATACTGGCAGTATAAATTGGCATGACTTGATAGCACATGACACATATGCCTGAAAGACAAACAAGGTCATGATGGTAACTTGCCTCCCATCATTCTCTTTCCTCAGTCCTCACATGCTATCTCAGGAGACTGGGGAGGAATGAGGCTCCTTGTTTTGTCAGCTGCAATTGTGAGCCAAGTTCAGGTTGCTGTGGCTGTCAAGTAATATCTGCTGCATAACTCAGACTTATTCCCTGAAGTGCAGCACAGAAGGTAAGGGGGCTGATCAGGCACCCTCCCCTCTTGCTTGAGAGAGGCCTGCCGGAGCAGGAGGGGCTGCCCAAGCCATGCTAAGGGAAATGGGAGGGAGGAATCAGCTGTGCGGCACTGCAGAAGGGAACAGTGCCCCCCACTCTGCAAGCACCTGAGTTACTCCCATGTGTAAGCAGCAAGGGGGTGGTGGTGCCTGGTTGGGGGCTGCATACCACAGTCTGTTCCACTTTCCTCCTCAGTTTGGGGGACCAGTGCTGCCTTCCAGTTGCTTCCTACCCTGCTGCTCATGGAAGAGGGACAGCAGGAGGATCAATTGAGCAGTGCTGCTCTTCTCCCAGAATCAACCAGCTGAGTACTGCTCACGCCTGAAATGTTCAGGGCCAGAGGTAGGAAGAATGGGAACACTTCTGACAGCTGTGCCTAATGGCAGTTGTAACTGGGACTATTTGATTACCTGCTTGGCGTGAGTGGCATATGCAGCTCTTGCCAAGCAGCTCTCTAGTTGTGGCCTTGGTACCACAACAAGCTGTGTTTCCAGCTTGGATTATACAACAAGCAATTCTACTGAGAAATCACAGTGCAGACCATTGCTTCTGTTCATGGTTTCTCAAAATGTACCATACTGAAACTGTGTGGTTCAGACAACATGATAGAAGGTAACACCCCTGCTCCACTTTCCTTGTCATGTTGTGTAAAACCCATACATTACTTAGCCAATTGTATTTTTTGACCTCCCCTTTACTGAAGATAAGTTTTCATGTATAATTGAGGACTCCTGTAACAGAGCATGAATCCATGGTGGTTTCAGAATGTCTCAATATTATTTTACTACACCATACCATGATTGCCCATTCCATCTTTGACATCATTTTTTAAACTTAAGTGGTGCATTAGTTACAACACTAATAAAAAATAAAGCCTGGTTCCTATTTACAGTAGAAGCTGCTTCCCAAAAGGCTCTTCTTAGGACACTCCACAGATAAGCCATAATCCAAATTTCTGGTCCATCATGTTAAAATCCTGGGTCCCAAGAAGTCTTCTGCTGAATTTCCTTTTCAGTGAAACAAACAATCTCATCATTAATTTGAAATTCAGTCTTCTTATCCATACTCAGCCCACAATCCATGCCAGTTTTGACTACAGGGACATCATCCTTATGGTGTTTCAGTGATGCTAAGAATCCTAAGCAAAAAAGAGAAAAAAAGCTGAAATTAGCATTCCAATGCTAGCATGTGTGCAATATCAGAGGATGAGGAAAGGCCTGGATGCAGATCTGTTCAGACCCAAACTCCTTGCATCTTGTAGTGAATTACAAGTCTTATGCTATAATGTATGGGGGTGAGTAACAACAGAATTTCAGATGCTTCTCATTCTATTTGGCATATAAAACTACTTAAATTATCTGCATTTGCAAATTGAAAAGGAAAGTAATACCAAAATATTTAGCTTCACGCTGTGGAAGGTTGGGGGAGAGGGAGAAAGGTAAAATATCAGGCAAGAAGTATCTGGAATCCAAAGGTGTATCCTTATTGATTTCAGCAACATTATGGGCCAAAATTAATGGCTCAGTAAGGGAGATTTTAGGGACTGCAGGTGACACAGTGGTTTAAACCGCTGTGCTGCTGGGCTGGTAGATCGAAAGGTCACCGGTTCGAATCTCCACAACGGGGTGAGTTCCCGTTGCTCTGTCCCAGCTCCTGCCAACCTTGCAGTTCGAAAACATGTTGCTGTTTTATACTGTGTTGCTGTATTTTAATTTTATATTTATATTTTAATTTATATTATAATTATTTTAATTTATTGATGTGAGCCACCCCGAGGCTTCGGCGAATGGGGCGGCATAAAAATGGTTTAATAAATAAATAAATAAAATGCAAGTAGATAAAAAGGTACCACTTTGGTGGGCAGGTAACAGCGTTCCGTGCACTTCAGTGTTTAGTCATGCCGGCCACATGACCACGGAGACTGTCTGTGGACAAACGCTGGCTCCCTCGGCCAGGAAACCGAGATGAGCACCGCTTCCTGGAGTTAGGCATGACTGGATGTAATGTCAAGGGGAAACCTTTACCTTTACCTTTAAGGGAGATTTTACTCACCTGTCCAAATAACTTCTCCATTACGAATTAATTTAAACTTCATCTTCTTGTCTAACTGCCCCTTCTGTACTCTGCAGCCAGCTACTGAAACTTTGCTTTTGCCTTCTGTGACTTCAAATGTTGCTATAACAGAAGCTTCTCCTAATGAAAATTAAAAAGCAGCATGAGAATCATGTTTGAAGTTTAGAAGACATCTAAACATTCTGTTTCTTCCTCAAAAGGTTATGAAATTCTGGAATTTGGTGCACAGTTTTAAGTTATGCAGTAGAATAAAATTGGATTCTCTCCCCTTTTATTTTATTCAATAGCAGGTTCTATTACTATGTGCTATTCTGGTTTTGCTATTCATGGGGAAGAACCAAGAGCAACACAGGAAACAAAAGACATACACAAACCATTGTGAATCTCTCTCAGCCACCCCTCTGCCTCTAAGATTTCAGCAGACACTGGCAACATACTGGACTGGGTTGCCACCATGGATTAATTAATCCACAGGGAGCGTCAGTGTCTGCTGGCTGTATGCAGCTGCAATTTTGAATGTACAAGCCTCATTTGGGGTTGTATCATGTTATGCACAGCCACCCACCATGGATTATTTGAATGTTAGGATTAAACAGACTTCACATAACCCTACAAGCAATATTAATTAATTATGTTTATTTTCTGCCAACTTGGCCCAAGGGCCCTCCAGAGAGTTAACAGAGGGTTATCCAAGGGTTGTTCAACCTTCGAATGAGTGTGGTAGCTAGGTTCATATGACAATGTGCTGTCTGTGACTGGGGATTGCATATTTTAAAAATCAGCCACAATGAGACCAATATACAGTGCTGCTCACTGTGGGATATAACCCACCTTGATGTGTAAACTGTACCAGAGTGAAGCTTATTTTGGCAGTCCTATAGCTCAGAAACTTTCTTTGTTCTAAGGAAGTAGAATCTCTGCAAAAAGACATTCTGTACTTTTTCTTTTACTCTCTTAGAACTGCAGCAGGGAGACTCATTCAGTTACTACCTGTTTATAATTTCTTACCACTTCAGTTTTTCAGGGAAACTCATTCTGTTACTACGAGCTTGACTATAAGAAGGAGTTTGATGGAGCATACCAAGAATCCATGCTGTCCATCCTCCTGTTTCCCAGAGCAGTCAACCAGTTACCTCTGGGAAGCCCACCTGCAGGGCGTAAGAAGCAACACCCCCCACCTGCCACCACGCACAGCCAGAATTCAGAGGAATACCTAATACATGCTCCTCCACAGCAGGGGGCAAAGTGTCGCTCAGCTCATCCTGCAAATCTTCAACAAGGCGGTAGATGATCTTGTGCATTTTCACCTTTATTTCCTTCTTAGTAGCCAGCTGCTGAATGGATTTACTTGCACCCACATTGAACCCATATATAATACCTGACAATTTGAGCAAAGAAGTGTAAAATATTATTTTCCTTAAGAAATTACTTGGGATGATACTGTAAAGAGGGCAATTTGTCAGTGACGGGACAGCTAGGCATGGAAGCAGATGAAAGCTGCTAAAAAGTCTCCCTTTCAGCTGTTGTCATCTCTGTTCCCTCAGAGCGCCTCTGGTGTCCTCAGGGACGCTGGCAGGAGAAGTGGAGGGGAGGGCAGGGAGGAGATGCCTGATGACCCCCACCCCGTGTCTGGTCATCACTTTGGCACAGCAAAGGCCCCTTCCAGCAACTTGAAGCCCAGGGTGGCTATTTGGCCATCTGAGCTTAAAGTACTGTCGGAACCCACTCAGTGTGTGCTATGGAAAAGCCAAATTTCTGTATCAGGACAGCAAATGTTTTACCAAGTGGCTGAATTCTGCAGCCGAAATGAATCACGTGCATTTGCCTGTACTTGCTTCTTGGACATCCTACTGATCTGAAGTGTAGCTTTTGAAAATTCACAAAGCTTTACATATATGGGGAAATTTGGCATGGGCTAAACTCAGGATGGCCGATGCAGTGTTCCAGTGGCCTTCCAGGCATTTCCCTTTTTGTGTTCAGATGCTCCAGCCCTCCTACTCTATAGAAAGCGTATTTTCTAACCAGCAGTTGGGATGGCTGTAAAATAGACTTGTGTGGCTGGAGCGGCATGGTGTGTTTGCAGCTCAGATCCCGCCTCCGCATTGTGTTCAGTCTTTCTGACGGATTATGCATCCATCACCTTGCCTCTCACTGCACTCATTTTGCCATAGCGCCTGGGAAAGTTTCTCAAATTGCCAGGAAGGGTGGTTACTACTGCGCTGAATCACAGATCAACACCGCATGGATGAGCCCATACCAAGTGGCAAGTTCACACCCTCCCACATTCCATCTCTTCCTGTGGAACCGAGATAGCCACTTGTGCAGCTGTGAATTGCTTTTTGCACAAGAGCTAGCTTTATGTACAAACCAAGCTCATGTTAGTTAAGTGAGCCAGGTAAAGGACCCATGCTTTGAAGTTGGCTTGCATCAGATGTGCACTGCGCCACCAGCTGACTGATGCCACACTGTGGGAGGGAAACAGAAGCTGCCTTCCATTTATCCTGCAAGATGGATAGGAAAGTGCCCCCATTCTGCCGGGCAGGGTCGCTGTAGCATTATTTGTGCAAACTTGATGACTAATTACCAAGTTACTAATCACCTGACATACAAAATCAAAAGACTGCAGCTGCTCAGCAGGCTAAGCTGCATAATTTATAATGAGTACCACAAATGACCTTGCTTACTGTTAAAAGTTTCTGCAAGTCTAAGATCATTCTCATTAACATCCCCAATCCCATAGTGGATCACATCTAATTCACATTGCTCCTCAGCATCGTAGGTATCCAGGATGTTCAAAATAGCTTCCACGGAACCATCAACATCACCTGGGTGGAAAAAGAGTCCTAGTTAGTTCCTGGGGTGTGGGGGAGAGTATACAGATCAACACAAAGAAGGAAAAAGCAGAGAATCAGCTGCCAATAACAACCCACAGGGAACCTAAGCAGTGCACATCTCAATCTGATGAGCTGGAACCAAGCAATGAGTGCAGCTCTGAGAGGTTCCTCATGGATTTTACCTCAATTCTAAAGCAACAAATCCAAGTATTTCAGTTGGCTATTTAAAGGCTTTGGGGTGGGTGGAGATAGAGCCATTATCAATCAAGATGGACACCAGGTTCACTTCTGGGTAATTCTATTTGTACATCACACATCTAGATTTTTTTTTTGGACATTTGGAGTTGTGCCTTTCATCATCTACATGAGGAAGGCCTTCTGGGAACTGGCTGCCTCCCCTTGTGAGCTTCTCTTTCTAGTCCCTTTGCACAAAGAGCGAGAAAGATCTACTTCTTGCTGGTTTCCAGTCTCTTCTCTATTTCCCTTGGAGGCTTTTTCATGGTTCAAGCTGCCCGCATCTCTCACACTGCATTGCCCTCTTTACCTCTAGCCTGCGGCATAGCCTGCTGCAAAGGAAGGGGTACTCCATTTGGTCCCAGCTTTCTGCACTGTTTCAGGGACAGGTGCCCTGGAGCCAAAACTTGAAGTGCAGATGTCTGGATGGAGGCTGTGGAGGCAGCGCTGGGGTTCAGGCTCAAAAGCTCAAACCCCACAGTGCAGCTCTGAACAGCAGGATGAATCAGGGGCAAAACCAACTGTTACCTTTGATAATGATGGACAGCGTGTTTTTGTCACTCTCCACTTTTTCTTTAGGCCGGATAATCATGAGATTCTTTTTGGCTTTGTACAAGGCCGCCTTTTTCTGTCTCCAGGTCATGTTGGTCAGACCCTCTTGCTCCTTTTTGTAGGCCTCTCTGTGAGCCTTTTGTTTGGCTTCTATGACCTCTAGATCCTTCTTCCCTTTATCTTGTTGTTCAGCATAGGTTCTCCACTCAACAACTTCACGAGCCCTTTGCTTAGCAGAAAAATAAAAGAACTAGTTCTCTGCATCAAACCAGGTAAGTCCATCTAGCTGATTATTATGTCTTGGATCCTGAGTTGCTCTTCTGTTTCTGCACATCTGAGCGTGCGACTGCTGCCAACTACATATTCCATCTGCCACCCCTCCACAAAATATAGCAAGACACCTGAATCCCCAAGAGCAGATTTTTGAAGGCTCAGGGCGACTGCTGTGGGAAACGGGAGGCAGAAAAATCCAATCCCTAGTTTCGCATTCACAGCTTTATCTGGTGCAGGGTCTCCATTTGGATGCCAGGAAGCACTTCCTGATGGTTAGGACCCCGAGGGTGTGGAATGGGCTTCCACGGGAGGTGGTTGAGGCCCCATCGGTGCGGGTGTTCAAGGACAGGCTGGATGTGCACATGGTGGACGTGTTGTGAGCGGAGCCGGGGGTCAGACTAGATGGCCCGTAAGACCCCTTCTGATTCGCTATGTTTCTATGTTTCTCCTAGATTTTTTGGAAAGAGCTGCTTCTGTTTTATTGGACTTGTGGGGAAGACTATCAAGAAAATGCCAATCCACCTCTCTTAAAGCAATACATGATATCTTAAAGTTGCAAATTTTAGGTAAGGAGTTGCATTCTCAGTGGTATAATTCAAAATTGATCTCATATAGCCTGAAAAGTATGTGCTTAAGAGTGAACATTTATGCAACTAACAAGTGCCAGTTTGTTTTTGTTTACTTTTATGCCACAACATTTTTTTGCCTCTTCATAGCATAGACTATTTTGTGTACATCAAATGGTAACAATGCCAATTAAATCCATTTTATTTTCATCTTGTAACTTAACAAAATGTGAAAATATCAAAAGGGAGGGTGAATATTTCTGCAAGACACTATACTTTGAATTATGAGGACTTTATATACAAAAAGGTATAAATATGGATTTATTTTAGAATTCAGGAATTCCATATTAGAAGCTCACCAGGCTGCATACCAGTCAGCGAGCTAGCCTATTCAGCATTAAATGAGGAACTTGGTACTCTCTCCTTTTTGAGTTGTTTAAACTAGAATCCTAAAAACAAGACTTTTTTTAATCTCCTGTTAATGTATTAAGTTCTAAGAATCTTTAACAATCCTGTACACTCAGTCCCCCAGTTATGAACATCTGAATTAAGAACAACCCCTAGTATGTCGGTGTGGGAAAAGTTAAAGATAAAATTGTGTAATAAATTATCAAGATGGCTTTCACCCATGGGAACTTTTGTGTATCCAAATGCATTGAATTTTGAAGGGATTATAAGACATGATGACATTTTGGATAAGGATGGAGGACTGAAATTGAATCAAGAAACACAAGAACAGGGAGCTGATATATCTTGGTGGCACAAGGTGCAGATACAATCGAGATATGCTAAAGATTGTAAAGCGTTGGGATTTTATAAGGACTTAACAGCATTTGATCAAGTGATGCTTAATGAGAAAATGATTAAAAGATTATATGATTTCTTACTTGATAGGAAAAAGATGAACAGGTTAAGGAAACTATGATAACGTGAGCACAAAATTTTGGATATAAGATTGAATTAGAAAAGTGGCAAAAGCTGTGGGAGAGAAATATCAAGGTAACATTAGCAACTTCATATAAAGAAAACTTCTATAAAATATGTTTTAGATGGTATCTGTCGCCAAATAGATTAGCTGTTTCCAAATATATCAAATGGATGTTGGAAATGTAAACATAAATTGGGTACTTTTTATCATATGTGGTGGACTTGCGATAACATGAAAAAGTATTGGATTAAAATACATAAATGGCTCGAGGAAATGTTACAAAAATCCTTAGCTTTTAAACCTTAAGTTTTTTTATTAGGCATTATACCGGAGGACATTAGTAAACAAGAAATGTATTTGATTTTACATGTAATCACTGCAGCGAGGATTGCATTCGCTCAACACTGGAAAAGTGAAGAACTACCCACTGACGAACTGATTCTAAAAAAGATCCTGGACTGTGCAGAAATGGATAGATTAACTTTATCATTGAAGGAGAAGGAAGATAGTGACTTCTATCAAACTTGGGACTCTTTTTATTATTGGCTAGAGAAACGGGACTTCGCATAGATTTAAATGTTTTTAAGTTATAAATGGAAAAAGAAGGGTGTGGGGGCTGACCCAGTGGGCTTGATGTTCTTGATGATGGATGCTGTTTGTAGTTTTCTTTTTGTTTTTTAGGATTATAATTTCGAATAAAACTTATTTAAAAAAAAAGAACAACCCCTAGTTATAAATGAGCAAGTGGGCACCCACAGGCGGTGGGCGACAAGTGCTAGGCAGAGAGGAAAGGAAGGAAAAAAGAAGGAAGGGAAGAACAGGACAGGAAGGAAGGAGAGGAAGGGAAGAAGGAGGGGAAAGGTGGTGCCGGCAAACAGCCAAGTCAGAATTTGAAAGCGACTCCAGTGGTAATCCCTCTCCCCGCACACACACCAGCCCAATCAGCTCCTGACTCTCCAGCACCAGTCCCATCTCCATCATCCTCCAGTGAATGATAGGCTTGATGCTGGCCCAACAGGTGTTAACTTTTAATAAGCTTTTGACTATTTTTTCTGCCTATCTATCTAAACTGTTTTAAGAACTGTACTGTATAACTACAGACATACATATGGTTTCTCTCCCCCTGCTTCATTACCTGTGATTACTTCATTATTCCTGCATTACCATTATTAAAATCTTGTATTGTGTTTAAGTTTCTTTAGTGTATATGGAAGTGTTTATCAAGTGTTTTATATGCTTTTTATATACATGCTCCAATTTACATACAAATTCAACTTAAAGATGATCTCAGGAATGGAACCCTTTCTTAACTGGGGGACCAGGTGTATTTAACAATTTGTATGTCATTTGGTGCACATTGTATTGTGTTAAAATGCTACAAATGTAATTCTAATAACAATTAAAATGAATCAAAATAGTTTCCCTTATCAATACATGCTAGTACAAAACCAACACTGAATACACCTTAAACAACCTTTCGTTTATGCTTTGTTTGAAGTCTGTTGATCAGGTATGGATCACTGACTGGTAGCCAGAAGCTATCAAAATACAGTCAGTCCTCGTCATTTGAAGAGTTAGGGTCACAAGACCCCCACGAAAGCAGAAAAACCGCAAACATCTCCAGCCCCTGCCCCCAGACTGTACTGCTCCTTCTGTCTATCATCTCTTTCATGCAACCAGCCCTCAGGTGCCCCTGAAGGCCTAGAACTTAGAATAATTGTCCTATCTGGTCAGTGAAAGAGTCACTCCTAGGATTACTAGGTTTAAATCCTAAAACAGGAAACTGCAGTACCTCAGACTCTACTTCAAGGATTTCCTCTCCTGCTGAAGGGATCTGCTTCCATCCTGCAATCTCCACTGGCATGCTTGGAGAAACGCTTTCCATGTTCTTGCCATTCTCATCAAACATCAGGCGCACTTTGGCCCAGCATTTTCCTGCAACCAGAACACAACCCTTTCTCAGAGTGCCCCTCTGGATGATGGCAGTGGTCACAGGACTAGGGAGAAGGACAAACAACAGAAAATTACATTAGTTTCACATTCACAGCTAGCACAATGCTTCAAATATGTGTATGCTAAAACACAGGGTCCCCTTCATGGATCACTGCCTTGTCGTGGTGAAGGGGCTTGCGTAGCTGAATGAAGCTATGAGCTATGCCATGCAGGGGCACCCAAGAGAGACAGGTCATAGCAGAGAGCGCTGACAAAACGTGATCCACCGGAGAAGGAAATGGCAACCCTCTCCAGTATCTTTGCCATGAAAACCCCATGGACAGTACCAAAAGGCAAAAAGATATGACGCCAGAAAATGAGCCCCTCAGGTCGGAAGGTGTCCAGTATGCTACTGGGGAAGAGCGGAGGGCTAGTACTAGTAGCGCGAGAAAGAATGAAGAGACTGGGTCAAAGCCAAAAGGACACTCAATTGCAGATGTATCTGGTGGTGAAAGGAGAGTCCGATGCTGCAAAGATCTATACTCCATAGGAACCTGGAATGCAAGATCCATGAATCCAGGCAAGCTGGACATGGTCAAACAAGAGATGAACATCGACATCTGAGGAATCAGTGAACTAAAATGGACAGGAATGGGTGAATTTAATTCAGATGACCATCGGGTATACTACTGTGGGCAAGAATCCCTCAGAAGAAATGGAGTAGCCTTCATAGTCAATAAAAGAGTAAAAAAAGCAGTACTGGGATACAATCTCCAAAATGACAGAATGATCTCAGTTCGAATCCAAGGCAATATCACAGTAGTCCAAGGCTATGCCTCAACCACTGGTGCTGAAGAGGCTGAAGTTCACTGGTTCTATGAAGGCCTACAACACCTTCTAGAAGTAACACCAAAAAATGATGTCCTTATCATCATGGGGGATTGGAATGCTAAAGTAGGAAGCCAAAAGATAACCAGAATAACAGGCAAGTTTGGCCTTGGAGTACAAAATGAAGCAGGGCACAGGCTGGTAGAAGTTTGTCAAGAGAATACGATGGTCAGAGCAAACACTCTTTTCCAACAACCCAAGAGATGACTCTACACATGGACATCACCAGACGGTCAACACAGAAATCAGG